CATACCCATCCCTAGCGCAGAAAGCTCCACTTCATTATGCTGCTGCATATACCTCTGCACAAATAAAACCACAATCGATCGATTACATCCTCAAAATCAAATCAAACATGCAAAAGAAAAAAAAAATCAAATTCGAGCGAAAGACGAACCTTGGCGAGATTGACGTAGAAAAAGAGCGGCTTTTTCGTGTTGGAGACCTGGATGCGGTTCTTTTTGTGCGATTCGCTGATGCTGAGGTTGTTAACGGCGTCTGTTACCTCCTCCATCGCCGCCGGATCGAGCAAACCCTAACCCTAGATTTTGAGAGTAAAGGCCACGGATGAAGATGAAACAAGAACAACGAGCGAGCACACAACTCGCAAAACTAACGGGCTAGATTGGGTTTTATATGGGTGTTCAGGCTCGGACCCGATTCGTGTCAGCATGGACCCAGACTGTAATTTTTTACCATATCAGAAATAATTTAACTTTCTTCCATTATATACTAGCGTGCACCCGTACAAAGCATGACCTTCTATTTTTTTAAGTATTGCAGTTTAAATTTATCTTCCTCTAAGTTTTAATATATTTAATTTGATTATTGTATGCTTAGAGTTAGAAATTATATCTACTCCTCTACACTTAAAGGATGGTCCAAGTTTTAATACATTTGATTTAGAAATTATAAATATTGTACTATAAACAGTAACTTTAAAAATATAGTGAGAGATTTGATTTACTATTCACTGTACAGTAATTTGCTGCAGCATACGCATTAGGGTCGATATACTATTTACAGCACAGTAGTTATTGTAGCATAAATAGTGATTATTTGGATCACATAAGTGTGTGTGTGTGTGTGTATAGAGAGAGAGAGATATGGAAAACCTTGGTACCAAGTTTCTCTATTGAACTTGATAGTGACGTGGAGAGATCTGACCCTTACATCACGCCTCAAAAAGAGAGCCTCAATAACTTTTACCTACTCCAAAATAGAGGCTTTATTTTCGAGGAGTGATGTAGGGGCCACATTTGTCCACATCACTACCAAGTTCAATGAAAGAACTTGGTATCAAGGTTCTCCATATTTCTCATATATATAGAGAAATATGAAAAAACTTGGTACCAAGTTTCTCCATTAAACTTGGTAGTGACGTGGAGAGATCTAACCCCTACATCACGCCTCGAAAATAGAGGTTCTATTTCGAGGAGTGATGTAGGGACTAGATTTGTCCACATCACTACCAAGTTCAATGAAAAAACTTGGTACCAAGGTTCTCTATATTTCTCATATATATATATATAAGAGATATGGAGAATCACACGAGTTTGAGAAAAGCTTTCCATAGTCAAAATTACCATTAACTATTTTCAATATTTTATTTAAATATTAAATTATCCTAAACCTAATTATATCTGATACTAATATAATATGAACTACCTATGGCTCAATAATTTTAAAAAATAAGATTTAATAAAATACAAGAAATTCTATTTTAAATATTTTATTTAATTCTAACTCTATTCTAATACTAATTATATTCTATATTAATCCTATGTGACCTAACTATAGCTCTAAAGTTTAAAAAAATAAGATTAAGAAATCATACATAGCTATCATATTATACTACATAAAGTATTACAACAAAACCCAAAAAATTCTAAAAATTACACAAAATACCCTTGAAAGTTTAAAATTACACAAAACATCCTGACATTTCAAAACTTAAAACATAAAAATAAAAACTAGGAATTGACAACAGTCCCTAAAGAGTTTAAAATTTTCAATTAACACCATTAACATTTCAAAAACTATAGAAATAACCTCAAAAGTTTAAATTATAAAAAACCCACCATGAAATTTTGGAATTTCAAAACTTGCAAATGTCATAGATGATTCAAGAAATTACCATCAGTCACTTAAAATTTTAAAATTTACAAAAAACCTCAAAGTTATAAAAATTGTAAAAAAAACTCCCTTAAAAGTTAAAAATTACAAAAAGCTTGAACTTATAACTAGTACACATTAAATCTAGAAATTATTCAAGGAAATAAATCCAAAATTCAGAAACATTCATGAATCACTTTAATTGACATTGGCAAAAGACATATCTATTAAAGAAGCACCAACTAAGTTTCCCTTAAAGAACATATTGAGCAACTTTGTCCCAATCAAAGAAGTATTCTTCATGGAAGATATAAGAAAAATTAGTAAGTATTTATAAATTTTTATATTTTATTTTTTAAATATTAAAGAAATAATGAAATTAATATAAAATTACATACAAATAATCTTGTAATAGAAACTAAGTGAAGTCATTGATCAACTTTGTTGCGAAATATAACAAGCCATATAAGGTGAGGAAAATCACTATAATGGAAAAAAATGTATACACGTAATACTTATTTACAATAGCATCAGTAAAAAAAATTAAAATTGACCTTTTTCTTTTTTCCATATAGTGGCATGACTCTACATATAACTTTATTTGAGGATATGACTACTAATGAATGGTTATTTATTGAAGACATACTCAAGATAAGCATGTAATAGTACTATTGGATTTCAGGATCTTTAAATATGAAGGTGACATATTTCATTAATACTAAAATTCTTATTAAAGGCCACTAAACATAAAAATTCACTTTATATGTGTCTCAAATTTATAGGGAAAATATGCATATCATCGTAATTTGTGTCAACAATATATATTAACCCAAAGATACAACTTATTAAAGAAATAAGAAAATAGTAAGTAAACCATAAAAATATCCATATAACACAATAAAGAAAAAAAATATTATATTTTAAAGCTAATATGCTAGGCTCATTTAGAACAAACTGTCAAGGCAAAAACATCTCCATTAAGACTCTTTATAAATACAACACAACTTCATATTACTGATATATGCAATCATCGTAGCATTCGAAAGAGATATGATCTTATAAGATCTACTCTAAAATTCACACAATTAAACCTAAAAACAGTTTACCAATATATAGACACGTTGTTGCACCTACAATGTAAAGATAACTACTATTTACAATAGAGTTAAGCTGTGGTTCTACGCTTGCAAAGGTTGCAACAAGAAGGTGGATAGAGATGTTAATAAAAGTGCTCAAATGCTAAATATCGTAGAATAGCCAATGACGTAGTATCAAGATTAAGTAATATTTCTTTTTCATCAAATAAACATATTAAAATTAAATATTACCATTATAATCAAAGGTAATTTGGTAATAAAAAATACAGTTATTTAGTTCAGATTTTCATGAAAAATAACAAGACAAAGCAAAAGTAACATTATTTAATGTAGCAGAACCTCTTATAGGATGCACAACAAAAAAATTCGTTGTAGAGAAAAAAGAGGTAACTCCTAACCTTATTTAAGTAATAAATTAGAAACATAAAAATTTCATATATATGAAATTAATATTTTTTTCTCATTGAAACAGAAAAATAATCAAAGTCCGTATATCCAGAAGTTTGTATTGAACATCAGAAATACATTTAACTTTTTTGTGAAGTAAGATAAGAAGATAAAAGATGAACGAGACCAGAGAAAGATAACATCACAAGAAATTCAGCTCCAACCTGATGTCACGACTTTATTGTTAAATATGAAAAATGATGAAGATATTACTTTAGAAATGCGTAGGAAAAAGATAAATGTGGAGAAGGATTGATCTCGACTCAATAAAAAAGAGATATTATTGTTTTTTTGAATATTTTATAGAATAGTTTAATTTTTTAAGTAAAATAAAGAATCTTTAAAAGGGATATTTCATGGAATTTTTAGTACTTTTATATACTTATATGGGTACTTTATAAAATGGTACTAGAGTTAACATTAATTTTCAGTATATGATTTTTTAACAAAGTCTATCAATGATTAGGAATAAATTTCATATTCTCTTTAGTTTCGCTCCAGACCATTTTTAATCAATCATCTTGGCTTATTGGCTTTAATTATTCATATTATATACTTATGTGACTATTTTTCCAGTTACTTTTCACTTTCACAACACTATACTTTCAAGTCTTGGTTTCCTGTTGGTCCAAATCAAATAAAAATTCAAATTGGCTTTGGACTACATTTATTTCTTGTCAATTTAATTATCAACACGAAACTTTAAATTCGGTGTAGCGCATTCAAATAAATATTAAAGAAAATAAATAATCACAATGCTAAAATTTAGAGTTATAAGAGAGCAAAAACTATCAAAATGGAACCTATGAATAAATTTTAGTAAGGAAATAAATCAAAACTATTTAATTATGGTATTTAAACACGTGCATTGTACATGCATAAAACCTCATGTGTGTGTGTGTACTAGTTAAAAGAAAGGGCGTTTTCCCATAGAAATCACCTTTAAAATGGGGGTGATTATAAAAAAGATATCTTCAAAGTTTAATTAATACAAAAACCATCTTTAATGAGGGTACTGATTGTAATAGACCATCTTGATCTATTTTCTGATGATTTTTCAACTAAAATTCTCAAAACGTCCTTAAAAACATATATGTTAGGCACTAGGTTCGGTTTAGAAGATAAGGCATGTGCGTGATATGTGTATGTTTAAGGGTGTTTTGGTAATTTCAATCAAGTTTCATAAAGATAGTCGACTACGATTGGAACCCCTTTAAAGGTGGTTTTTGTATTAACTAATCTTTGACAGTGGTTTTCATATAATCATTTTATGTTAAAGGTGGTTTATGTGAAAAAACACACGAAAAGAAAAGGTTTTTTTTTGGCCTATATAGCTCAAATATATCTACGGATTTATCCCCGAATTTGTGTATTTGATAATTTACTCCAACACCTCCCTTATCTGATATCTATATCCCTCTTATTTAAAATTGTTAAAATTAACTGGGGGTAAATTCACAAATAAATAGATTGAAGGGAAAATCTTCAAATAGGGTAGAGGATGTTGGGGTATACAGGCAACAAATGATTAGTTCGTTGTTTTTTTTTCGGTGGGATAGAGTAACAAATCCTTAGTTTAAGGACCAGAGTGGCGTAATTTGTTATCTATCCGTTATTTGATTGAAATGTAACAATTTGATGATATATTTTGTTTAGACTAACTACCACTTTTTTGTAAAGAGTTACTGACAGTTGAGGTATTTTAAGCAGTACGTAGTGTTAGTTACCAGTTACGTTTATCATTCCAAACGTGAGAAATAAAAATCTTCACATGTACTACATCTAGTAAAAAATATATGAACTTTTCATAAAATTTGTGCAACAAATGCCTAATCAAAGTAAACAAGGTATATCAATTATTGCTTCCTTCATTTTTGTTTCAAAGAGAATGGATATTAGTACAAAGTTAGAGGTGAACCGAATGATTGAAGCTTTTATAGTTGAAATTCTAGTATAAGAT